TGTTTCTCTCTCATCGACGTTTCTAACTCTCTATCTCTCTCCCTTCCTCTCTGTAAAAAATCAATAAAATATATTTTAAAAAAAAAGATAAACTTACAGCACATCAGTCTAAGGAGTTTCATAGACCTGTTTCCCAGAAAAAAAACAACTGGTGAAAACTATTTTTAAAAACGTAAAGTCTCTGAAATGGTCCCAAGGACATACAGCAAAAGAAGAAAACTCTATGCAAAAATAAAAATTACAAAAATTTGGCAAGAACAACAAAAATCTGTAGTATTTGAACCGAAATAACTCCCTCCATTCTCCTGGCTCAGTGAGATTCCACTCCACTCAACTCCAGACTGGTGTAGCCAAGAACGCCAAGCTCCCTCTCCCCCAACTCACATTAAGAAGGCTCTATTTATGAGAGGGACAGACGTCAGCATTTCTCATCCTGGCCCTAGCTATGTGTTGCTGAGGATAAATTCTATGTCAGTATGGCCAGGAATTATGGGTTTCCATCTTCCACCCAGCCCCCAAGATGAGACTAATGCTCTACTTTGGGTGAAGTACTTCTGAGAGTGCGAAGGCACCAATCACTCTTTCCCTGGTTTATAAGACAGTGGTTCCATGCTGGGAGAATCAAGCAGAGAAGACCTGAAGCTAATGTTCCTCTTTAGCTAATACTCAGTTCCTAAATCAGAAATTTTACTCTGAGAGATGCTTGCCATTGTCCCCACACCCAGCTCTGGGGCTATAGCTTAGAGATTTTACCAGGGGGTAGAAGTGGGACATCAAAGAGGTCACTCCTAAACGTTTCTCTAGGAAAGTGATTTATTTGCAACAGAGCATGAAAGAAATTCAAGGCAAAGGGCACTCTCAAATACAATGGAGGTTGTGTTGAAAAATTTGAGAGGTCGTTGGAAATATAGGCTAAACTATAACTTGGCTAGTTGCGAGAGATAATCAGGAATAGAAGCGGCTGGGAGGAGCCCACATGAGGACAGAAGAAATCTCAAACACTAACCTAAGGAACCATCCCTTCAAGGAGCACAAATTTGATTGGACTAGTCTCTAGAGAAATTTATGCCTGGAACACTGTTGAAAATAATCACCAGCAATTAGTTTAATTTAACAGCTGGGTGTGGTCATGGAAAGAGACAGTCAAAGAAAGCCCTGATTAAATCATCATCATCCCAAGATGACTGTGGGCATATCCAAGGCTGCACTACCTGAGTAGCAACTTCAGAGGCTTAATACTACAGGGGAAAATATATTTCACTAAAATAATCAGCCACTCACTAAACAAATAAACAAAGAAATATTAACAATAACAAGTCCGAGAGGTGAAAAAAGAGCCATAACCATAGTTGCTATATGATCTAAAATGTCAAGTTTGCAACAAAATATTATAAGACATGTAAAGAAATAGGAAGGTATGACCCATACACTATAAAAATAAGCAGGTAACACATAATGCCTGTGAGAGCAACCAGATATCAAATTTAACACATGAAGGCTTCAAAGTATACATCATATACATGACCAAAGATTTAAGGAAAATCATCTTTAAAGAAACAAAGGAAGGTATGACAACAATGTCACATCCAATAAAGAGATGCAAATTATAAAAAGTACCAAGTGGAAATTCTGGAACTAAAGGTGCAAAACTGAAAATTTTATCAGAGAGATTCAGCAGTGGATTTGAATTGGCAGGAGAAAGATTAGCAAATTTGAAGACAGATTAATAGAGATTATGCAATCCAAAAACCAGAGAGAAAGAGAATGAAGAAAAATGACAAGACCCTCAAAGAAATGGGGAACACACCAACACACACATAATGGAAGAACCAGAAGGAGAGAAAGGTGAGAAAGAAATATTTAAATAAACAATGACTAAAACCATCCAAATTTATTGAAAACATTAACCTTTACATCCAGGAAGCTCAATGAACTACAAGTAAGATAAATACAAAGAGATCCACACACAGACACCCCATAGTAAAAATGCTAAAAGCCAAAGACAACATGAAAATCTTAAAGGCAACAAGAGAAAACAACTTGTCACTTACAAGGGAACCCTCTAAGACTGACTTCTCAGCAGAAACAATGGAGACCAGTAGGATAGGCAGTAGGATAACATATTCAAAGTGTTCAAGGAAAAACTGTCAAATAAGAATTCTGTATCAAGCAAATCTATCTTCAATTATTGTTGTTAATCCTCACCTGAGGATTTTTTTTCATTGACTTTTAGAAGAGAGTAGAAGTGGAGAGACAGAGAGAGAAACAACAATGTGAGAGATGTATCAATTGGTTGCCTCCCAAATGCACTCTGACCAGGGATGGAGCTTGCAACCAAGACAGGTGTCCTTGATCAGAACTGAACCCGGGACCCTTCAGTCTAAAGGCTAACACTCTATCCACTGAGCCAAACTGGCCAGGGAGAGCAAAGCTATCTTTAAAAAACAAAGATAAAATAAATACATTTCCAAATTAACAAAAACTGAAAGAATTTATTAATTCAATACCTGCCTTATAAGAAATACTAAAGAGGTATTTATAATACATGCATTTGACAAAGGACCTATATGTAGAATATATATATATTAGAGGCCCGGTGCATGGATTCGTGCATATTGAAAGAAAATTAATTAGAAGAAATATTTTAGAGGCTGGGGAGGGGCGATGGGAGGTTGGCTCTAGGGCATGTCCGGCCCAGTTCCGATAGGCCAGACCCCAGCAGCAAGCTAACCTACCGGTCAGAGCATCTGCCCCCTGGTGGTCAGTTCACATCATAGCGACCAGTCAAACAGTAGAACGGTCTGACACTTAGCATATTAGGCTTTTATATATATATAGATATGTATAAGCAGACCTCCTAAAAATCAATAAGAATGCAACACAACCCAATAGAACTCAACAGAAAAAAAATGACAAACCCTGAAAAGACACTTCACAAAAAAAAGATATCCAACATGGCCAATAAACATATGAAAGGGTGCTCAATTCATTAGTCAGCAGGGAAATGCACATTAAAACCACAATGACATACTACTACACACCCACCAGAATGGTTAAAATTAAAAAGATGGAAAATGCCAAGAGTTGGTGAGGATGTAGAGCAACCACAACTCTCATATATTGCTGATGGAAGTGTGCATTGGCACAACCACTTTGGAAATTGTTTTGTAGTACCTATTAAAGGCTAAATGTACACATATCCTTTGACCCAGAAATTCTACTCCTAGCAATTATATTCCTACCAGAAATGTGTACATATTTCACTAAAAAACCTGTGCAGAATGTTCAGAAGTACTATTCCTAACTAGAGGCCCAGTGCATAGATTCATGTACTAGTGGGGTCCCTCGGCCTGGCCTGTGGACATCCCCCAAGAGGTCCCGGATTGTGAGAGGGCACAAGCCAGGCTGAGAGACCCCACCAGTGCACAATCGGGGTCAGGGAGAGATCGTGGGAGGGCTCCAGGGCGTGTCCGACCAGTGTCACCCACATCGGCCAGACTCCAGCAGTAAGTTAACCTACTAGGCAGAGCGTCTGCCCCCTGGTGGTCAATGCACATCATAGCTACAGATTGCATGGTTGCTTAGGCTTTTATATAGTATATAGATAGTAAAAAATAGGAAATTACACAAATGCCCATCAACTAGATGGAAAGTGAGAAGGCCCTATAACAATATGCAGAACTGTGGATAAATATCACAACATAATGTTGAGTGGTTCATACTCTATGATTCTACATCTGTAAAATAAAAACAAGAGAAACTAATCTATGCTAATAGAAGTCAGGATAGCCCTAGCTGCTTTGGTTCAGTGGATAGAGCGTTGGACCATGGACTGAAGGGTCTTGGGTTCAATTCTGGCCAAGGGCACATGCCTCAGTTGCAGGCTTAATCCCTGGACCTGGTTGGGGTATCCTGGGGAGGCACTCAATCAACGTGTCTCTCTCACATTGATGTTTCTCTCTCTCCTCCCTCTCCCTTTCACCAAAAATCAATGGGAAAATATCCTTGGGTGATGATTAACAACAACAACAAAAAAGAAGTCAGGATAGAGATATTTTTGTTGAGTGGAACAGTGACTACAAAATAAGACTGGGTTTTCTGGGGGGCTACTGGTATTTTGTTTCTTAATCTAGGTGCTGATTTAACATGTTTACTCCATAGGGTTGTGGCAAAGGTGAGGCAAACAGGATACCTAGGGAGCAAAATGGAAGGAGACACTCCCTCTCACCTTGTTTGCCTCACCTTTACATCAGCCCTGACGTTCATTTTGTTAATATTTATTGAGCTATATCATGATCATGTATTTTCTATATGTATATTATACTTGGATTAAAAAATGTTAAGGGCCTGGCTGGTGTGGCTCAGTGGCTGAACGTCAACCCATGAACCAGGAGGTCATGGTTTAATTCCTGGTCAGGGTACATGCCCAGGTTGTGGGCTAGATCCCCAGTAGGGGGCGTGCAGGAGGCAATGGATTAATGGTTCTCTCTGGAACACTTCTGAGTTTCTGCCTAGCTTTGTTTTCAGTTTGCAAATTCTAAGACCCTTAAATAAAACTCTGTCATTTACTTCCAGCAAAGCCTCTGGACTCTTTTTGAATATGTTTATTACTTATAAATGAAAGATAGAAAATCCAAAATTTTCTAAATTCATGGGTATCTTTTATAAAAGAAGTATATTGCAAAGTCTTTTTCTCCTCCTAGTTGTGGACAATTTTATATAACCAAGTATATTTCCTTCTTGAAGACAGTACTTTTTTTTTTTTTTTTTTTTTTAGAATAAACACTCCTTAAGGTTAGGGTCTAATGGATGTGCCAGGTATAAAAACTGTAACAAAACTACCCAGCTTTTATACCCGGCGCACTCCATTAGACCCTGTTACTGTTTCTGTGTTTATACCTGGCGCACTCCATTAGACCCTGCTACTGTGATCTGACCTGCATAGTAACTGTGTCAGCTACTTCACTGAAGCATGGAGGCTCCCTAAAGCTTTGCCTTACTTGGTTGTTGCTTCCCTCTTCTTCCTCATCGCCGTCCAGACCCTGATGGGCCATCTCGGTGACGCTGTTCTCCTGGAAGAGATTATCCTCCAAATCGGACACTCTGGTGGCTTCCGTGATGACTTTTAGCTTCATGCTGTGAAAACCAGTCGAGACCACTCCCACTTGCAGGTTTACGGGCTCCCCCTCAAACAGCAGGATGTGTGAGTTCACCCCATGTTTAAACCCAGGGGGCTGGTAATAATCGGGGGTCACTGCAAAATAGAGAGTGAAGAAAACTGAGTTTCAACAGAACAAACCAGGTTCATCTTTCATGTGTAGCAACAGAGATACTTTTCTGATGCTTGCAAAATCCTTCTATTTACATGAAATATTACTTCCACACTTGGGAAGGAATTTGACTAGAGGTCGGCACCTACCTGCATTATAGTAGTGGAGTTTCATAGTAAGTACAACATCATTAGGAAGGGGTCCAAGGTTCTGCATCAGGATATACAATTTACGGAGTAGTAGAATGCTGGCTTTCTTCATATGTCCCCTCTTTGTCCCACTTTCGGTGCTCGTATTACTGCTATAACCACATTAAAAAAACAGCATACTTTTCAATCATATACAATATCAAAAATATCTTTGAAAAGAACAAAACTTTTTACTATAAGATCAAATAAAAAGAAATTAACATCAGGACACCCTTGAGACTTCTTTTAGAATGTCAATTAGAGGAGAGGTTGTATTTTTTACAATGAATATACAAAGGATTTCTTTATAGCAAGTTCCCTTAAGGTATTTTAAATATGACCTGATTTTTTTAAATCTGATTTAAAAATGGCCACATGCTATAATAGTGAGAACAATGGATTTGGAATGAGGAGACTTGACAGCTAATATTGGCTCTGCTGGTATGAGCTGAATAACCTCAGTCAAGTCACATGGACACAGTTAGCTCATTTATGAGATAAGCTTACACACATTTCTACACCTTTTCTAGTATAAAATCGGTCATCAACTCTGGGCCTTTCTATCATCTGTTATCTCTCAGAGGTATCCCCTCCTCACCTTACATGGATTATGATAATATGACTATTCTTCCCGCTTTTTTCTTGTCCATACTGAAAAAATTTCCCACACCACTGCTGGAATAATATTGCTAATAGAAAAATCTGCTGATGTCACTCGCTTGCTTAAAATTCTTCTATTACATCCATCACCTTTCAACCAAATTCGAGAATAGCGTACAACGCCTTTCATGACCAGCCATGCCCTCACCTCCACCTTCATTTGTAATCACTATCCAGTTTCTTCTCATCCACGTGCATTTGCAATTTGCTTTCCTGTGCTTTTCCCACTTCTCTTCCTGACTCTCCCGAAGTCATTCTTGAATACCTAGCCATGTGTCACCTCGTCAAGGAAGTCTTCCCTGATAATCCCGTACCTCACCCTTGTTTATAGCTGTTTGTATGTCCCCCTCTAGACTATGAATTCTACACCTTTCCTCTCCACAGTACTAAGTTTGGCGCCCAGCTACAGTAAATACACAATAAATATTTGCTGAATTAAGGAATGAATGAACAAGTTGGACAAAATTACTTTCCAATTCTAACGTTTTCTTTTTCCTAAGAATTTTCTTCCCCAATTCGTTTCACATTTGAGTAGTTTCCAGGAAGAAGTATGACTATAATATATTTGCACACTGCCGCTCACATAGTAAGCACTCAATACTGAAAAATAATCCTCAGTAATTGAACTATTAGAGGCAGTGAGAATTCCTAAAACAAACATTGTTAAGTAAATACATTTGTTCCTGTTTCAGTTCTGAATAACCTTCAGTTTTGTCTACCAGGATTTAACCAATCTGAAATAGGTAACCAGAGATAGCCATTTAGCTCATGGGTTTCTTCAGTATACGTCATATTCACATAAAATCATATTCAAGACTCCCCTGCACTCTTTTAAAAGGCAAATTATCTTTACCATGGAAGAGGTGATCGGTAATTTTATATGGTGATTATTTAAACAAATGTCTACCTTTGGTTTCTAGGGAATCAGTAATATGTATTACCGTCTCTCCTTCTTAGTAGCTGAAAGATTTGGCCATTTGTTTTACTGCTCACCTCTTGACATACATGGCTTCATAACAAAAGAAATTTCTCACCCTAGCTGGTATGGCTCAGTGGATAGAGCATTGGCCTGCAGACTGAAGGGTTCTGGGTTTAATTTCCAGTCAAGGGCACATACCTCGATTGCAGGCTCCTCCCCAGCCCAGTACTTGGTCTGGAGGCAACCAATCGATGTTTCTCTCATATGATATTTCTCTCTGCCTCTCCCTCTCCCACTCTCTCTAAAAATCAATGGAAAAATATCCTTGGGTGAGGAGTAAAAAAAAAAAAAAAAGAGAGAGAGAGATTTCTCTGGTTGTCAGTAGTTCATACATTTGAATTTTAGAGGATAAAGGCACCTGTTTTGTGTGAGAGAACATGTATGAAAAGTGCTGAACAATCTGTGAAGTGCTATACAGATGTTAGCTAATGAGGGTTATATTCTCATTCTCATTCCTAGAACTTACTTCCTCTTCACATCCTAGTGCCATCTGTAAGTCTTACAAATGAGAAAATAATTAAGGAAGTGAATCTTGGAGAGACATCCTCAAACTTGCAATAAATTATGAAACAGAGCTAATAGTAGAAAATTGAGAATTAGGCCACATTTCTCTTTAGAGTCATTCCGTTCAGGGAAACTCATCCCCTTGGCATGGAGTCCTCTGTCACGCGTGCTTTTTCCCATCATCCTCCCCCTCCATTTCCATTCCATCTCATCAGCAAATTTTGGCTCTTTCTAAACCCAAAAGCTCCTGGGAAGAAATAAAGAAAATAAACGTGGCTCCTTACTAAAACATCTCCGTCTGCACTAGGACCTTCGGAAGCAAATGCCTTGTCTTTGCTATTTAACCTATTAGTATATCTAAACACTTGGAATTCGAGACCTGCTAGGAAAATACAGTGCTTCCCAGTCTTTTCCATCCTAAGACATACACAGAAAATTATTTTTGTATGACATATTGAGGTAAGCAGATGGCAGTGATTGTGTCTATAAGCAAATCGTTCAGTGGTTCCATCTACCCCAGGTTCAGAGGCAGAGAGGACCAGTATCTTGGCATAGCAATGGAGACACTTTGGTTTAGTGGGAAGATAGAGTCTTTGGAGCTCTTCCGTCAGTACCATGTAGACGGCCTCATTAACATAATTTCTACTGCTGTGCTGTCTACCAACCACCATTGCCTTCGGGGACCACTATCACCACTACCACCACCACCACCAGGTACCATTCACTGAGTGTTTATTATGTGCCAGACATGGTCACAGCTTAATATATGCATTATAACTAATCATCACAACAACCATAGGAAGTAGATACTGTATTATCAACTCCACTGTGCATACTAATATTTAGGGAGGTTGAGTAATTTGTCCAAAGTTATATAACCAGAACAGTCAGAGCTGGGGTTCCAAGCTACAGCCTTCTGCCTTGGGAACTGGAACTCTCAACCACTTAAGCATAACTGCTTTAGAGCCTACTAACACCACCTATGAGAAAAAGAGGGAAGCAGAGGACGCCCCTATTCCCACCAGAAATTTCAACAATTACACGATCCCTCCTTATAGCAGTGCTGGTGTTCTTTGTAGGGTTCCTGGGAGAGTTCGAAAGGAAGCATAAGGCCCATCTGTGGCCTCAAGAGGCTTATGTTTACCCCAATCATATCTATTTCTCGTGTTCATTAAACAATTAGATTCTACCTGTCAAAATCCATAGTGATTCCTTCATCTGTGTATTTGAATTTGAACTGGTATATCTCAGTCACTTTCTAGAAACATCAAAGGAAACAGAGAAATAAATTACTTTAAAAAAGAAATCCTTTGGTAGTTACAAAATAGTCAAGGGGATGTGAAGCACAATATAGGAAATGCAGTCAATAATATTGTAATAACTATGCATGGTACCAGGTGGGGACTGGGAATATCAGGGGGAACACTTTGTAAAGTATATGACTGTCTAACCACTATGCTACACACCTCAAACTAATACAAAATAATATCAAATGAAAACTGTAATTGAAAAATAAATTTAAACAGAAATCCAGAATCTTATCTGATAATAGATAAGAAACATTTTCAGTTCGTATCTACTATACTTCCTACTTACCTGTTTGTTTCACAGCATTACATTATTCAGGAATAATCTTTGCAGATATAGAGATAAGGATTTTTCTCCTGGTTTATTTATTTATTTATTTATTTATTTATTTATTTTTTTAGAGAGTGGAAGGGAGGGGGAGAGACAGAGAGAGAGAAACATTGATGTGAGAGAGACACATCCATTGGTTACCTCTCCCACATGCCCCAACCAGATCCGGGGATTGAGCCTGCAACTGAGGTAAGTGGCCTTGAATGGAATTCAATCCAGGACCCTTCAGTTCGTGCGCTAATGCTCTATCCACTGAGCCAAACTGGCTAGAGCAATTGTTACCATTTTAAAGCTGGAAAAACTAAGGCACAGAGTCAAGTACGTGACCAGCGTAAGTAAATGACAGTGGAACCGGTTGAGAAACCATTTATTCATGTAACAGATATTTACTGAACTTTGTGTCAGGCACTGGAGTTACCGTGGTGAACATGACAGAAAAGGTCCCTGCTTGAGCTGAGTCTTGGGTGACAAGAGGGGACAGCAATACAAAGGCTCTGAAGTAAGAAAGGAAGCCTCTCCCAGGATCAGAGAGGAGGCCAAGTGGCTGGCAATGAGTGAGCAAGGGGGAGAGTACAGGAGATGAGGTGGTAGAGGTTTGGGGGCCTGTCAGTCACAGTGAGGGGTTTAGATTTTATTATAAGTGAACACAAGTCCATTGAAGGGTTTTAAATAAGAGGCTACTGCAGTAATTCAGAGAAGACTAGAATGGCAACAGGAAAACTGGAAAAAATAGAAAAGAAACTAGGATCTATGATTTCAGGTCTTGTTTTTGTTTATCCTGCACTTGAAACTAGGTACTATTGCTATCTTCTCCCCTCATTGTTAAGAAAGCTAGAAATAAAGAAGGGCAAATTTCCTCATGAGAGATATACTCCAATTAAAATATAATAATTGTCTACTAGTTGAAGCAAACATTTGGCCCAGATATACTATAGTGTGTCCACAGAGCTGGAGAAGGTATTAAAGACAGGAAAATGATGTGAGTTTAGGTCAGAACATAAAATACACCCTTCATTTATCTATTTGTTCCGTGGAAATGTGGGAATGAGGCTGTTAGGTTGATCAGAAAAAGTCTCAATGCTCTTGTTACTTTTCTTTATTATATGACTAGTGCCCCGGTGCACAGATTCATGCACATTGGAAGGAAATTAATTAGAAGGTGGCCAGTGAGCGGGACTGGGCGAGACGGGCCAGACACACCCTAGAGCCAACCTCCCGTGACCCCTCCCGACCAGCTGCACCTGGGGTGGTGCCACGGCTCGAAGGGCGTCTGCAGTGTGAGCGCGGTCCCTCTGGTAGGTGGGGTCCCTTGGCCTGGCCTGTGGGGATCGGGCCAAAACTGGCTCTCTGACATCCCCCAAGGGGTCCCGGATTGCGAGAGGGCAGTTCTCGGGTGATGCACCCTGGAATCGGGCTCCCTCCTCTCTGGTTCCAGGGTGCATCACTCAAGAACCGCCACTGCCAAGTCACTGCAGCTCGGCAGCTCCTGCATTGAGCATCTGCCTCCTGGTGGTCAGTGCACATCATAGCTATCGGCTGGATAGTCGAATGGTCTGGTGGTTGTTTAGCCTTTTATATACATAGATTTGCTATCCCATTAATCACAAGTGAACAGGTCCTAGAGAAATTAGCTCATCTGCTTAAACTCGAAGAACACTGATTTTTAATGGAGATAATTTTAAAAGAAAAAAAACATTTTTCTAGCAAGAGTTGAAAAATCCAACCAAGTTCAGAAGGCTACTTTGTGAGTACAGTCAGATCTACGGGTTCCACATCTTCAGATTCAACAAAGCAAGGATCAAAAATATTTAGGCCCTGGCTAGTGGTTAGAGCATCGGCCCGAGCACTAAAGGGTCATGGGTTTGATTCCAATCAAGGGAACGTACCTCAGTTGCAGGTTCGATCCCTGGCCTGAAGGCAACCAATGTGTCTCTCTCACATCGATGTTCCTCTCTCTCTCTTTCTCTATTTCTCTCTCTCCTTCTCCCTCTATCCCTCCCTAAATGGAAAAAAATATCCTTGCATGAAGATTAAAAATAAAAAAAGTTAAAAAAATATTTGGAAAAAAATATGCCACGTGGCTGCTGATGTGCACTCTGTAGTTAGGCCTATGGGGGTTGTATCTGTTCTGAACATGTACAGACTTTTTTCCTTGTCATTATTCCCTAAACAACACAGCATAACAATTATTTACAGAGCACCTCATTGTATTAGGTACTACAGTAATCTACAGATGGCTTAGTCTTCGGGAGGATGTGCGTAGGTTATATGCAAATACCACAGACTTTATATAACAACTTGAGCATCTGCAGATTTTGGCATCCACCGGGGTCCTGGAACCAGTCGCCCGAGATGACCGAGGGAGCGCTGCACAGTAGGAGAGGAGTGTGAGACTGGAGTGCCTGCAGCAACAGCTTCACGTCGGACAGGCCAGTTACATGGCGTCGTTGTCTCTTCGCTGCCGCTGAGTGTAATTGCCCTGTCGCCCAAACAATGCCTATTCCTCCTGCCTGCCCATGTTTCCCAGCCAACTCCAGCTTCGATGCTCTGAGCTGTCTTTCATATTTTAAATTGTACCAAGAACAGATCCTTTATGACCTTTCTATATACAGATTGTTTAGCAAAACTGAGAATATACAACTTTTACTCAGTTGTGCTATCTGTTGTCTGAGATCATTTGAGAATGAAAACATGTGATATTTGATTTGTACCCTCACAATATTCATATAGTAATTCTTTAGGGGTCTATCATGCGTTGAGTTGTATAAATCTTTCCTTAACATAGTTACAGTTTGGCTTACACTTATTAATACCCTCCACGCATTCTGTAGTGTGTGTCTGCAGAAAAGCTACACTACCCCTCTTTACTACTTCACTTTTCTTTTTCTACTTTAGTTACTTTTGTCAGTTCATCTCAAAACGTCAAGTGCACAAGCACAGCAACTTTGTGTGTGGCTCAAACTCTTGTCGGCCTCTGGACTGGGTAAGCGTCCTTTACTTAAGACACTGGTTCTCAGTTGCGTACCGTGACAGACTCTCACAGGTGTGCTGCAAAGTTTAATCCGCAGGTAAAATGTATTTTCACTTCAGGTAAACATTAATATTGGTACTGTTTGTGCCGTTTTGCGCAGTGGAGGATACAGTTCTATGGATATGAGTCAGGAAACATGGCACGATATCAGATAAATGCCAATAATGAAGAGTCTGGAAGCATTCAAATTTTTTTTTTCAGGCTCATAAATGATAGCTCAGAGCTTATATAATAAGCCTTTGTTTCCTAACTCCCTGTTATATACATTGCGTGTAGCAAAGCTCATTTAATAGCTCTCCTCTCTCTGTGAGATTTTTCTGTAGTTAAGCCCAATTTGCTTAGCAGTTCACTACCTCAAAACCACCGGTTTCAGAGTTGAAGTTGTGTGTGCATAAGAAAACATAATAATTTACCGCGCTAGGGAAGTGACCAATTTATTAACAATTTAGCAGGAGGGTTTAGTTTGGGAAACTTCCCATTAGAGCTAGAAGGGGAAAAGCATTTTGAAGTTACACAAGAGACAAAGACCCAGAGGTACTCTGGCATTAAAGAATTGTTGCCCACCTGTATGTACCCGTTTTCTTCCACCTTGTTCAAACACATATTTATGATCTTGCCAAGAAAGGATTTTAAAGACTAAAAATGCTTAACTTAGTCTTGAATGCCACTAATTAGGCTAAACCCATTGGCTTAGAGGAGGAAATGGAAAGCAAAGAAAAGGTAAAGGAACCGGAAGGAAAGATAGGAAGAAAGTAGAGAGAGTGAGAAGAATGAAAGGCCTCTCCCTCCATGTCTATGCCACCGCCAGTTTCCATTCAAAGCAGCACATGTAACTATTACGTGCCCAAGACTATAATATCCCCTTTGGGAGAGAGAAAACAAGACAAGTTTCTTGATCTCAAGAATTCACAATCTGGTTGGGAAGATAAAGTAATCTACATGAATCAACTGAGAGTGTTAAATTGTGGGGTACTGATGAAAAAGGAATTCAGAGAAGGAAGAAATTAGTGTGAACAGAAGAGGCAATGAGGCTTTCATGAAATATTTGGAGGTAAGTTGGCCTTGAGGATGAGTAGAACTCAGTCAGTAGAGGGAAGAAATTTAGAGAAAGAAAGAGGTAAAGCTCTGAAAATCTAGGAATAGGTCAAAAAGGGGAGAATTTAGTTGGGGGAAAAAAGCTTACAATAATGCCATATCTTCCCAAAGGCCACAAACAAAAAGGATTCAGAATCAGTTAAAATAAGCAATAAAATACGGTGTTTATACAAGCAGAGATCCTTAATGTTAACATGTTAGGGAACAGGCTCAGTTCTACTCCACACTTATTTTTCAATGCCCCTAAGTAGTTTTTAAAATCTCAGAATAAAGAATTGGTGAAATTTACAATAAAACACTGAAAGAGCTCACTACAAGTTACTTTGCTCATGTGGCAGCCCAGTAACATAATCTATGGCCCCAATGTAGGTAAACATATTTAAATATAATGTACATATACTACCCATCTCTATGTGTGTTCTTACCTCAGGTTCCTTGGGATTTGGGTAAAGCTGTTTAAGGAAAAATAAACAGCACTTAATTTCTGAAAGATACTAGATTACTCCTCATAGAATACATGTTCTATATCAGGGGTCCTCAAACTATGGCCCGCGGGCCACATGCAAATACAAATATTGTATTTGTTCCCATTTTGTTTTTTTACTTCAAAATAAGATATGTGCAGTGTGCATAGGAATTTGTTCATATTTTTTTTTAAACTATAGTCCGGCCCTCCAACGGTCTGAGGGACAGTGAACTGGCCCCCTGTTTAAAAAGTTTGAGGACCCCTGTTCTATTATGAAGAGTTCAATTTGTGCTATATTGAGTACAGAAATAGATAGATAAATACATAGATAGATAGATAGATAGATAGATAGATAGATAGATATTAAGATACATAGTTCAAGCTAGAGCTAGAATAAGCTCATTTTGTAAATATAACTTTTAGAGTATTCTGTAAACACTTACTATAAGAAAATTGATAACCAGGCATTTATGATTACTGGTTATGATTTGTGACTGAGTTACAAATAAATTCTAAATAATTTTTATGGTTTACAATTTTAAAATAAATAGTATATCTAATACTCTCAATGATATCTCATTTTCTTTATATCTTAATAACATTCACCATGCTATACCCAGAAATAGGTAAAACTTCAGAAAACTCTACAAAACTTCAATCTGTAAACTCAAAAAATAAAATCCTGATAGCCAATAGATGAAGCAGTTGGTAATCCTATATTTTCCCTTGTATTACAATATGCCAAAGAAATAGTTTGTGATATTTTATTAAAACATCCCAAATTCTATTTTTTAAAAATTCCAAAATGTCATAGGACAGATAAAGAAATTCAAGAAAGCAGAGGAAAGTACTGTTTTAATGTTCCACTTGCCAAAAGACAATGAAGTAGAGGCAGAGGCTTGGTCTTTAAATGTATACTTACTGTAAGTATTGCCATGTGTAGCTTCAAGAAAAAAAAATAGTTATTATATTTTATATACTTGCACCTATGTTGCTATTATATTCATTAAAGGCTAATTAAAATATTATTTCAGAGAGGTCCAAAGTTTTGAGTTGAAAAAAATAGTATTCAGAACAAAAGGGACCCTAATTATTTATTCACTCAGTGAGTGCCTATTACATACCCAGCGTTATGATGGGAAGAGGAGGGATTTAAAAAAAAAAAGAAAGAAAGAAAAAGAAAATAATTATCCTTATTCTCTAGTTGTTATATTATAGTTTGGGAGGTAAAAGATATGAAAATAATTTGTTATTACTAAAAATTAAATGTGCCCCAAGTATTTTTTTAAAAAGTGCCTTTTGAAACAAATCAACTAAACTAAAAAGTTTTAAGCCTGACATAAATCTATAAAACCTTTGCTCTCCCTACATCTATATATTACTAAAAACAGATTTTCTCTGCTTGAATATATAGATATACAGATAGAGATATAATAAAGCCTATCATAAAAATTTTAAAACTAGAATACAAATGACAAAATTTAAGGACCACAATTTCATAGCAAATTACTCACCTATTTCACCCAAAGGACTAAAACTTTAGTGACACTGTGTGGCTATTTTGGTTACTGCATACAATTGATTTTAAGACTACACAGTGCAACTCTACTGTATATTAATTATTTAATGAAAAGTTTATTCATTCAAAAATAGACATGGCCTCAGCCCTGGCCAGTGGCTCAGTTGGTTGGAGCATTGTCCCATACACCAAAGGATTGTGGGTTCAGTTCCGGTCAGGGTACATACCTAGGCTGCAGGTTTGATCCCAGTTCTGGGCACTTATGGGAGGCAACTGATCGATGTTTCTCTTTGACATCAATGTCTCTCTCTCTCTCTCCTTCCCTCCCTTCCTCTCTCTCTCCAAAAATCAATATCCTCGGTGAAGATTAAAAAAAAAAAAGACATGACCCGGATCACAGAACTTGCAGACCAGGAGGGAAGAAAATATTAAACAAAAAATATCACACAGATAGGTGTCAATTGTATTATTTGCTATAGAGAAATAGCACAAGATATTTGAGAACAATGTGGGCGGGGGGAAGAGGAGTGTCAGAAAAGGCCTCCCCGGGAAGTAAATATTTGGGCTGAGACCGGAAGGGTACTGGAGTTAGCCAAAAGGGAAGAATATGTAGAAAGGTAAAAGGCACGTGGCATATTCTAGATGTGTGATGTGGCTGGAACACAGTGAGCAATGGTGAGAGTGATGCCCTGCAAAAGCAGATGGAGATTAGATCACACAGGCCTTGTAGATCACATCAAGATTTCTTCAAGAAATAGAAATTGAGAGAGTGAGAAGAAGACACAGATGGAGAAAGGGGAGGAAGCAGTAATAGACATTTCATTTTTATATATTTTGTCTCTTTAGCTAGGACTAGAGCCTCTAATTATTACACCCTGTGTAGCTGTCTTGGGCAGCAAGGAAGATCTGATGCACTTAAAATTTAAGCTGCATTTCTAAAAAATTTGAGCTACAGTACTTATTTTGAGGGAGCAGATTATATATATACACCAAACATAGTTACCAAAATAACCAACACAGAATAAAAACGAATTGTTCAAGTCCATTTTCCCTTTCATATCTGCAAACTGAATCGCACTATTTTGAACATGCTCAGTGTGCTAAATGCCAGATTCTTGTCTCCCCTCTCCCACATCCTGTGGGTCTCTTCCAGTGACTTCAGAGGAAATTCTGTGGTCAAAAGATATGAGTATGTAAAAGAGAAAAATGAGGGTTTCATTTCTAATTGATGTAAATGAGACATCAATGGGACAGCAAAAACTTAAAATAAAAAGAAACTGGTTCATGAATACAAATGTAGGCACTAGTACAACATTAAACACAACAAAATAAAGGCTAATCTTTTTTTTAAGGGATAAAAGATGAGTCTTTGAGTAAATGTTAAAACATTCTTACGTATCCCCTTTCCAAAGCGTCAAAACAACCTTGAATCCTGTCAAGAAATAAATGTTGATGTCAATTTGGACTAGATTCAAAGCCAAAAAAATTCCAAATACAGAAATGATTTATATGTTTTGCTTTGAAGTACATTAAATTGATAATCATTTAGTTACCTTTCCCATTTAATAAATTTTTAAAACTCCCAATACCTTTCAATGTGTTAATAGAACTTTATAAATAATAGGTAAGCAATTTTAGGGTACAGAATTACATCTTATTTTTCATGTTGGTTTCCATACTGTTTAGGACACTGGCATGCTATCACGACTAATCAAAGATTGATTGATATTTTTCTTTCTTTATACAAGTCTATTGAGTTAAAAAATAACACTAAGTCAGTATCTTCAAATTACATTGATTATTACAAATTTGTAGAAAATTATTTTAAAAAGGCAGAAAGAAATTATTTTAAAGAACTGTTACCACAACAACAAAGAGACATTTAGTTTCACTTAATGCAGCATGAACACCGATGGAGTCACACTATGAAATAAATAGCTACACGTGTGGGCTTCCAGTCAGGCTACCCCGATGTGAGCCCCGGGTGTACCACTTGCTACCTATGTGATGTTCAGCAACTGAGCCCCATGAAGTCTGTTTCTTCGTCTGTAACATGGGGATTATAAGATATCTCATCAGAGTGAAGATGCACATTCTTTCATATTTTATCATCTCTAATATCAGGATGCATCTTATAACTGGTGGTGTGTCTTGGTTTCATTAGCAACATCTTTTTTTCTTTCTTACTGGTACATAAATTGTGTAATTTACAAACTACAGCATTTTCTATTCAACTAAACAATTAATACCTACTTCATAAAGTTGTTTTGAGATATAAATAAAATCATGATGTAAAATCTTATGCCCTAGAGCTTGGCCCACCGAAGACTCTCAGTAAACAATACCCATGAATGTTGTACAGTATGATTTCTGTAAATGCTGGCATTTTCCTGTCTTTTTAGTCATAATTTCTGTTTGCCAAAACTAGAAGTTAATTTATTTGCAAAATCCTTGTTGTTGGAACCATCTGCCTACCAAATTGTTTATCACATTTCCTCTAAAATCTCTGGCAGCAAGATAGTGACCCTAAGGGTTTAAATCTAAAATGTGAAATGTGGTCAAAATAAAGTTTGTGAACGTCTTAAAAAAAGAAAGAAATGATGTTACCAAATAAAGTCTTATGGGTAATTTCAGCCATGATAAAAATAATATTCAACTTTTGCAAAATTTCAATTACTTACCATTTAACAATATGCACTGACCCAGGAGAGTTTTCATCTTCTCGGAGGATTTTTAAATTGAGGTCTACAAAAATAGAAACACAGTCTATTTTCATCTACTAAATGACCGTTGGACTAAAATTGTCCATTCTAAATAAAGGTATTTCCTTTAACTATTTTATTTATAAACCTTAGTTTTTATAGCTTATAAAAATATTTGGACTCTCTACTAGTAAATATCTAAAAATAAATCCTATGTTGATAATTAGCTTCGTTCTGATTTTGATTCTAGTTTAGTCTATCCTTACACAATATAGTGAAGGGAGCCGAATATTACTCCCAAATGTGCCACTTTCGCATGTGGATTATTTGAAGCGAATGGCAATCGAGACCCAGTTGACTCGCCCGGCCAGTGTGGCCTAGTGGTTGAGCATCGACCTATGAACCAGGAGATCACGGTTGGATTCCTGGTCAGGGCACGTGCCCAGGTTACGGGCTCAGTCCCCAATAGGGGGTGAGCAGGAGGAAGCGATCAATGCTTCTCTCTCATCATTGATGTTTCAATCTCTCCCTCTCCCTTCCTCTCTGAAATCAATTTAAAAGAAGACTGGTATTTTAAAAAATGGAAGACCCAGCTGACTCAAGGTAAACTTTTACCTTTCCATTAACTGATTAAAAGTATTTAGATAGGGGACCTGGCCCAGAAAGAGAGCTATTACGAGAGATAACATTTTATCTGATAGACTTGCTAATCTGCATTAACAGGGAGAACATCTGATTACCAAACACCTGCTCCTCTTATCGTCCTGTGAACTGCCCTCCTTCTCTTTGAAACTCCCTGGCCCTTATCCCACTGCTTAGCTCGGAAGGGCATATACATCTGAATTGCCTGACTGCCTTTGCTCTCATATTTGTACGGAGCTCCTGTATATACAAAATTAAATGTGTTTTTCTTGTGTTAACCTTATGTCAAATTAATTACTAGACAATTCAAGGAATCTAGAAGGGTAGAAGAAAAAATTTTCATTCCCAACAGTTGCACAAATGAATCGGCTGCAAAATCAATTTGTGTCACTTCTTTGCTTCTGTTAAATTCTAAATAATCAGGTAATATTGAGACCATCTCCATTAACCAATTTAAAACATACACTTCAATCTCAAGTCACTTCTTTTTCTTTCTCTTTTTTAAAATTTATTTTGTATTTATTTTTTCTTCTTCTTTGGGGTTTGTACTTTCTTATGACATAGAGAGGACAGAAAATTGTATTAAAAATCTTTAGTTCACATAAGTCCAAAATCAATCACTGATTCATGTATGACTTTGAATAAGTCACTTCACCTTTTCATATTGTTTTCTTATTCTAAAAATTATGTCACTTCTATCTCTACTGAGGAATATTAAAATTATTCCATGTTGTTAAAACATTTAAAAATTGCAAAGCTCTCCATATTTATTTGCTTTTTTCTTTCTTATTTTGAGCGTATGTTTATTAAAGCTGGGGACGGTCTAACAAGGAAGGACTTAGGATAGAGCAGCGGCAGGAGAGAGCGGAGGGGTGGCTTTGGCTCTCTGGAAATGTTATCGAAATGAGCGGCTGTTAGCTCGCTGGAAAGTCGGAGAAAAGGGGCCTCGGCGACAGGGTCAGGGGGTCAGCTGGCATGAGCTGCTACCGCCTGCTGCTCCCCTGGTTGCAAGTCTCATGGAGACCCTTAGAGTTCAGGAGAGAAAAGTTAGGATGCAGGCCTGAGGGGGAAGAAAGGTCTTCCTCCCAAGAGGAAGACCGCACCTATTTATTTTTCAAATGATAGTTCCTACTTTAGTAACACATCAGCAAGGTTTTCTGAATGGTTATCATAATCCAGCTTTTTAAACAAATAATAAGATTTTGATAAATTGAGGAGGCCGGGGTACATTTTCTAAAAATTCAACAGAAGAAAAGGAGCCTCAAACAGCTTGTAATGTAAGAAAAGGAGATCGTAAGTTTGAGGACACCAGAAATAAAAAGGCCCTGGCCAGGTAGCTCATTTGGTTAGAGCGTCATCCCAATATGCCAAGGTTGTGGGTTGGATCAGGGCACATACAAGTATCAACCAATGAATGCATAATTAAATGGAACAAATCAATGTTTCTCTTTCTCCCTTCTTCTCTCGCAAATCAAATTTTAAAAATACAAATAAAAAAGAAACAAGAGGAAGGCAAGTTGAAGGCCTGGCATTGAGAAAGGACCAAAGCTGATTAGAATAATAATTGTTTAAATATACATGCTAATCAACAAATGGGTTTGGCATGAATATGCATTTTTACAGCATATTTACATATATGTTACCAGGAAGAAGAGTTTTCACCTGGCTCTCAATGCCAAAGTACAATTCAAAGAACAAATTTAATTGGATGCAAATCCATAGCATCCAAATAGATTTTGATTTGGCTGCTGCTTTTATAGGTCTAGTTTAGATTTACTGGGCTTATCCGTATAGATTTCTTTTCTCCTTAGTCTGTCATTTGGTATCTGGCCAGGAACTAATAGTTCCTATAAGTAAAACCACTAAACATAGTCAAATTAAAATGGAAAATTAATTAGCAAATTGTTCTTATGGCCTGTGACTTGGACTCAGCACACTCTGTGAGAAATTAAAGCTTTACTCCTGCCAAACAGAGAAAAGGAATATAATAGCCAAAGTAACCATTTAGTTCAACTTTACCTTCCAAATGGCGGTTTCCATAAGAGCTTTCTGGAAACAGGCCCCTTAAATATGTTATACATGAGACAGAAGTAGCAAAAAGTTTCTTCACCATTGTCAGTGACTCTTCCTGATCACAAATTTGGAATGGGAAAACTGGTCTCTGGAAAAAAACGATGAAAAAGATTAGTATTCACCCTGGCCTGTGTGCGCAGTGGTTAAAGCATCAGCCCGAGCACTGAAGGATCGGGGTTCAATTCCTGGTCAAGGGCACGAACCTGATTTGCAGGAGGCAACTGGTCAATGATCCTTCTGTGCTTGGGCAGACACTCTACCCACTTAGCAACACAGCCAGGGCTGAAATTATTACTCTTGCATGTATAACAACAACTTTGGGGAGAAATTGAAATGGGTTGTAAAAGCGAGGCTAAGGAATTTATGCTTTATTTTGTAATCAATGGAAAGTCAGCAAATTTGATCTGGTGAGTGAGTAAAATAATTGTTTGAAGAATATTAAGCTATAGTAGAAGTAAGCAATACTGAAGCTCAAGGAGAATTAGGTGTATATGAGGTGTGAATGTGCATTTTGTGTATTTTGATCTTTGTATCCATGAATCCTGAAAAGTTAAGGTTCTTTTGGGTAATTGTGTAATAGCTGGCATCGCATGCATATAGAGTAACTTATTGAAAACATGCCAAAAGTTAAAAGGCAATACTTGAGTAACAATAATTTGTAAAAATAAATAACCTGAAAGTATCACGATGTTTACTTTAAATATAGAATGTAAAAACACATCTGTAGTAACGAAGATCAATGGTTAGAAAAGGTTTCCAGAGTACTGTCACTCTCTATTCTCTAGGGACATTTTTCTCAGCTCAGCTGGTCTAGTACTTTAAGGGCTATCATTGTCTTTTTTATTTTATATTTTATTATTTTTTTAAAATATATTTTATTGATTTTTTACAGAGAGGAAGGGAGAGGGATAGAGAGTTAGAAACATCCATGAGAGAGAAACATCCATCAGCTGCCTCCTGCACAGCCCCTACTGGGGATGTGCCCGCAACCAAGGTACATGCCCTTGACCGGAATCGAACCTGGGACCCTTCAGTCCGCAGGCCGACGCTCTATCCACTGAGCCAAACTGGTCAGGGCTGTCTTTTTTAATGTTTTTGTTTTAATTTTCTCCCATCACCCTTTACCCCCTCTATGCCCTCTTCCACCTCCACCCATCCCCCTCCACCCTGCAATCACCACACGGTTGTCCATATCCATAGTTTTATTTTCTCTCTTTTATGCTCAATCCTTTCACAGCCCGCCCCCATCCCACCTGCCCCTTCTAGAGCTGTCTGCCTGCTCTCTACCTATGAGTCTGTCTCTATTTTGCTTGGTAGTTCGATTTGTTCATTAAATTCCACACGAGTAAACTCATATGGTATGTGTCTTTCTCTGACTGACTTAGTTCATTTAGCTATCGTTTTTATCATGCCTAATACATGAAAATACTATAAATACTGTAAAACAACACTATTATAAATTATTTTAATAAGATAGTGTGCTGATGACATGTGATGTTTTACAGCTTAGCTGCCAAGTTATATGACCTCAGGCAAGTTACATTATTTCTCTGAGCTTCAGTTTCTTCCTTACTGCAAAGTTTAATTGAAATAATAATATATTAGTAAATCCCTTGGCACAGTGCCTAGCATATGGTAAGTGATGAATAAATGTTAGCTTCTATAGTTATTGTTGTTGTTTAAAGTATTAAATAGCAAAATCACTTAAAACTTACTGGGAGAAGTAGCTCATGGAGTCCAAACTACAAAGATCTGTCAGTGGTTCTCAACCTTCCTAATGCTGCGACCCTTTAATACAGTTCCTCATGTTGTGGTGACCCCCAACCATAAAATTATTTTTGTTGCTACTTCATAACTGTGATTTTGCTACTGTTATGAATTGTAATGTAAATATCTGATATGCAGGATGTATTTTCAGGGGTCGCGACCCACAGGTTGAGAACTGCTGGTTTATATCAAAAGGTCAATTTGTTAATACTCAGTGAGAAAAATAACTGCCAAGTTGATTGCAATTCATATATATGGCTCAGCATCTTTGCCCCAGGAGGGAAGCACACTTAGAAACCAAAATGAGACAGGAGCCTGGTGAGTACATTAAATTCGAGCAAGAAAGATGACTGCCTTCTCTCTGCCATAATTCTCCTTCAACTTCAATATTTCCTATTTCTGCTACAGCTTAATATTCCTGAAACAATTATTTTACTCACTCTCCTGATCAAACCCACTGACTTGCTATTGACTGCAGAATACAGTATAAGTTCCTTAGCCTTAGGATCCATATGATTTTATCCTCAGAGTTCCTATTCATTTTTACTTACTATTTCTGTTCAACAGGATGACACTCCAATTCCGTAAGGACGGTTCTCTGTTATTCTCCGAAACACGCCACACTCATTTTTTTATTCTGAGGCAAGGCATGTGATAGGTTTCCCTCATGGAATTCTCGCTTCTCTCCTCTATTAAAATCATTTTCATCATTCAAGATTCACTTTAAGTCCCATCTCCTTCATGAGGAATATATAAACTATTCCAGTCTATATAAAAATCTATAGATTCTTATAATTTGTGTTGCCTTACTCTTTCATATATGTAATGCATATATTACTTTGTATATTGACTTAACTCCTGCAAATCTTAATTTAACCAGATTATAAACTTCTAGAAGATGAAGAGTCTTTTTTTTTAATCCTCACCTGAGGATCTGTTTTTATTGATTTTTAAAGAGGAAGAGAGAGAAACATCGATGCAGCCTCCCATACTGGCCCCAACTGGGGATCAAACCTGCAACCTAGGTATATGCCCTGACCAGGAATCGAACCTGCAATCTTTTGGTATACCAGACGATGCTCCAACCAGCTGAGCCACCTGGTCAGGGTGAAGTTTTTTATTTATGTATTCATTTAGAGGATAATACAGTATTACATATATATTATATGGGGCTCTCAATGGATACATAAATGGTTCATTATGAATGTCATGCGCTGTAGCCGGTTTGGCTCAGTGGGTAAAGCCTCGGCCTGCGGACTGAAAGGTCCCAGGTTCAATTCCGGTCAAGGGCATGTACCTTGGTTGCAGGCACATCCCCAGTAGGAGGTGTGCAGGAGGCAGCTGATCGATGTTTCTCTCTCATCGATGTTTCTAGCTCTCTATCCCTCTCCCTTCCTCTCTGTAAAAAATCAATAAAATATATTTTTTTAAAAAATGAATGTCATGGGACAAGATAAACTTGCCAAGATAAACCAGCAAGTTTGCCTAGCCCTGGCATGCTCCCCCACGCGTCCCAGCATACAAGTTTTCCTCATTGTTCTCTCCCTCAGTTCTTATAACTACGTCATATTGTACATCAGAAGTTTCCTAATTGTTTCAGGAAGTGAATGTATAACAAAGAACCATTCTCTTTAAACATCTTTTTTGTTTCTGATTTCTTTTACCCTAGAAAATCTAAATATATAAATATGAAACAACACCCAGTAAGTCATTTTGTAGGAGTCTATCCTAATTTTCCGAACATCCTCAGTCCATTAGGCAGTTAAAATGTAGACACGCTCTGCCATAAATTTTGTGCCAATTAACTGATAAAACTGCTGTTTAAAAAAAGGCCAAAGATTAAAGTCATCATTATGAACTGACTAGTCAACAATTTTCATTTAATTCCATTTTTAAGTGAAATAGAGTTTATTAGTGAAGCAGTAAGATGGAGAATAGGCTACTGCAGAGACAGAGCAGCCTTAATTCTTACTAAATACCTTAGATGCCTTGTGAATTTTGGTGGAGTGAGAGAGCTGAGCAATGGCCATTATAGTAACGTATCAGGATTCTTTTAAGTCTAACCTGCAAAAAAAAAAAAAAGAAAAGAAAAGAAAAAAATAAGCCAATTAGAGACCTTGCCCAACATAATCCTTATTGTGAATATTCCAAAGAAATATTATATAATTAGCATTTGACTATATTGTTTGGAAAATTAGTTTAATAAACATTTTGATCTCCACAAACAATTTTTTTAAAATTTGGCATAAAGTCTCTGGATCAGTTTTTCCAACCACCCAATGAAAATATAAGTTGACTTACTTGTTCCCAAATACATCTGGAGGAGAAAAATATTGTAAATCACCTAATGAGTCTTAGCTGGTTTGCCTCAGTGGATAGAGCATCAGCCTGCGGACTGAGGGGTCCCAGGATTGGTTCCAGTCAAGGGCACATACTTCGGCTGCAGGCTCAATCCCCCGCCCTGGTCAGGGCCCATGTGGGAGGCAACCAATCAATGTGCCTCTCTCACATTGATGTTTCTCTCTCTCTGTCTCTCCTCCTCCCTTCCACTCTCTCTAGAAATCAGTGGGAAAATGTCCTCTGGTGAGGACTGACTCTCCCCCCAAAAACATATATACATCAATCATATATTTTTTCATCCTTGTTATTCCCCCAAAATGTAACAGTGCTTTGCATATAGCAGCACCTCAAAATAATTTCTTGAATTAGCTTCGTGTGTAATTGATTTTCAAAGCCAATTCAAAATTTAATGTTTATACTTCACACCCATTAGGTTGGCTATTCAAAAAGAATGAAAAATAACAATTGGTGAGGATGTGGAAATATTAAAACCACTACTGATGGGAATGCAAAATGGTGCAGCTGCTATGGAAACAGCATGGCAGTTCCTCAAAAAGTTAAATAATCACCATATTATCCAGCAATTCTGCTTCTAAGTATATACCCAAAGTAATTGAAAGCAGGGATACAAACAGATACTTGCACACCATTGTTCATAGTAGTATTATTTACAATGGCCAAAAGATGGACTATCCATCGGCAGTTGAATTTTTAAAAATGTGGTATATAGAATGGAAAACTATTCAGCTTGAAAAAGGAATAAAATTCTGACACATACCTCACTATGGATAATATTATGCTAAGTGAAGCCAGACACAAAAGGAAAAATACTGCATGATTCCACTTCTATGAGGAAGGTAGTCAAATTCATAGAGACAGTAGCACAGAGGTTACCAGAGGTTGGCGGGTAGGAAGAATGGAAAGTTTAATGGGTACAGACTTTCCGTTCAGGATGATGCCCATTTTCTAGAAATGGATAGTGGTGATGGGCGTCTAACTCTGTGAATGAGCTTGGTGCTGCTGAATTGTACACTTGAGAGAATGGTTGAATTTTGTTGTGTACATTTTACCACAATAAAAACCATTGTTTAAAGTACATCTAGGCACTCCGCCTCCCAGGAGCACACCCACACCTTCCCCCACAGGCGTGCGTCTCCTAAACTCTAAAGGACCCAGGAGACTGGCAACCAGGGCAGCAATGGGCAGCAGCAGCCCATCCCAGGCTCGCCCCCTGGGCCCATCTCCAAAGCCCCCTTTCCTGTGCCTTCTCAGTGAGCCAAAGCAGCCCCACCTATGCCCTCTCCTGTTGCTTCTTCCATCCTAAGCCCTTCCTTAGGAAAAAACAAAGCAGGTTTTCTTTCCATTGCTTCACTACATTAAAAAAAAAGAAGTAAAATTCCCCTTTTCTTTTCAAAGGCTTTAATCTAAACTGTGGCTTCTTTTCAAGGTTTTAGCCAGTTCTGACCAAAATATTTGTAAAATAGTCCGTTAAAAGAAATTCCATTCTGGATCACCCTGTGATCTGTTTTTGTGTATAGGTTAATGCAGGATTCTGGAAGATTTTGCAAATAGAAGACGGCAGAATTATTTGAGGCCACAAGGTGGTGACAGAGATAATAATCCCTCTCAAATGACTTCTTCAGAGCAGCACTAGGGGACACTCTTTTACAATATTTTATATGAGACTGAAAACCACCTAATACTTCTTTGGTCCTTAAAGATTCCAAGGGATCCTTTGTCGACTTCAGAATATAACTCTCATTTCCGAGTGTAACCTTCAAATCTGACTCAACATGGCAACTGTTTCCCTTAATGACTGCAAGAAATAAAATAGGGCCCAAGCCAGCTGGCTCAGTTGGTTGGTGCGTTGCCCCATACACCAAAAGATTGCGGGTTTGATCCCCAGTCAGGCATGTACTGGAGGCAACTGATCAGTGTTTCTCACCCTTCTCTCTCTCTCTCTCTCTCTCTCTCTCTCTCTCTCCCCCTCTCCCTCCCTCCCATCTTTCCTCTCTCAATGGGCTCTACAACTGAAGGGACAAGAGACATCCTCTATAACTAATCCAGTCCCTTCCTTTTAAAGAAAAGGGTAAACAATTCAGTGGAGGAATAGTCTTTATAACCAACTAGAGGCCCAGTGCACGAAATTCATGCACTTTGGGGGGGGGGGGCGGTCCCTCAGCCCAGCCTGCATCCTCTCACAGTCCGGGAACCCTCGGGGGATGTCCGACTGACGGCTTAGGCCTGCTCTCTGGGGAGAGAGGGCTTAAGCTGGCAGTCAGACATCCTTAGCGCTGCCACAGAGGTGGAGGAGGCTCCCACCACCACCGCTGCACTCGCCAGCAGAGCCCAGCCTCTGGCTGAGTGGCGCTAGCACACTGACCACCAGGGGGCAGCTCCTGCGTTAAGCATCTGCCCACTGGTGGTCAGTGCGCATCATAGCCACCGGTAGATCCGCCATTGGGTCGATTTGCATATTAGCCTTTTTTTAATATAGGAGGATGGTGTTGGCACAATAGGAAACCCCTAAGACTTGGGGGGCGGGCGTGGATTTAGGTGAGAAACTCAACCTACACCTCACACCATAGACAACTATTAATTCAAAAGGGGTCATGGATTTAAATTTAAGATACAAAACTATAAAGAGGAGGAAAGCAAAGCCCAGCAAGGGGACTTGGTTTGCCAAAGGTCATCCAGGGACTCCAAGGTCTCACCGCATCTGTTTTCAAAACTGATGACGCCCCCTTTTAACAAATCCCATTTGGCCCCGATAATTCCCCTGCTCCAGGTTCACGCGGAGGAAATGGTCTCCGCTCTATTAGCTGGGTATTTGTTCATGCTCACTTTTTTTTTTTTTTTTTTTAAATATCTTCTTCACGCTACTTTAATCATTCATTCCACATTTTATTACCGGGCGACTACAATGTGCTAAGCTTCCCCTAGGATTACAAAAAATGCAAAAGACTGTTCACACATCTCAAAAGATTTATGGCTCCTTGGGGGAGAAATGAGATGCTCCCCCTAATTAGATTAAGCGCATACTTCTTTTTTTTTCTTTCTTTCTTTCTTTTTTCCGTTCTGACCAGCCAAGTACATGATGTTCCGCACGCCCCGTCCAGTGCTCTGCAAAACTTGAACTCGTTCTGGCGATTGGCTAATCCTGCGTTTCCAAGACACTCTCCCCCCTGTAGTGTTTGGGGAGCCAAAGTCCACGGAGATTAAACGGCAAATCCCGGTATAAAGTGAAAGGACGGTTCAGGTCACTGGTTGGCGGGGGCCCATCCCCACCCTCTGGGTCTGCGCTGAGCATCGGTCCTGGCGGGAAAGCCGCCAAGGCGGCGGGGGAAACACGGGAGCTCGCGGAGCGCAATCCCGAACGTTCCACGCCCGACTCCCTGCAACGCGCAGAGTCCTGGTCGCCTCCGCCACCTTCCTCTCCGAGACGGATTCCTCCTCTTCCACCGACACCTCAACTGAAACGCTGCCTAAGATGGTGGGGGTGCGGGTGTCCCCGGGGAACGGGCTCCACCCCCCCCCCCCCCACCAACCCCGGGGAAACGTGACCGTCGCCATCGCCCACCGTGGAGGGAGGGGGCCGTGTTACCTACAAGCTCCCCCCAGGCCTTCTCCTCGGCCCCGACGTTCCTCCTCACAGTATGTGGCGCCCCGCGATAGACTTTCAAATCGGGGCTCGAAACTCTCCAGCGAAAAGAAAAGGAAAAGTTCACAGAAGACTAGAAACGGACAGTCCTCCGGGGCCCTTTTCCTTCGCGGCCCTCGCCCGTCCACCTCTCACCGCCGACGGCGCCACAACGGCCTTTTCCGGTTCAAACCCGCCTCTCGAGCTCATGAATAATCAACCCGGCCTTCTAGGGCGGGGCGAAACACTTCATGAATAATTCATCACCTCTCCAAGCGGACTCCGGCGTCCAGCCTTCTCCCTGCCTCATGAATATGCAAATAAGGGCCGAGCGGCGTCCAATAGGCCCCTGGCAGGCCCGGCCCCCTCCACGCCCGGCCCCCTTAACAGCGGCCCGTGTTCCCGGCCGGACACCTGTGCACAGTTTACCAGCCCTCACGCCGACGTCCCGCAGTCGCTAGTTCGGCGTTTCCAGCCCTTCCGACGCCTGGCCCGACGGGGCGTCGCGGGAAACCGGGGGTGCGGGGCTACCCAGGACCCAACGGTGCCTTCGACTTGGGTAACCGGTACCTCGAGGACAGCCTGCCGCGGGGCTTCCTGCGGAGACGCCTCCCACTCCCACCCCCACCCCCCACAGGTGAGGCGGCAGCGCGGAGGCCCTTGCGGGGCCGGGGGGCTGGGGGCCGGGAGGGGTCTGGGTTAGAGGCCGAGGGACCTTGGGGCTAATGCGAAGCCTTGGCCCCGGGCCACGGGGTCCCAGAGAGACCGTGAGGCCAGCGCCGGGCGGCGTGGGGGAGGGGAAGCCGGGGCCCGGGCCCGCGCGGAAGGGGGTTTAGAAGTCCGGGCGGCGGGAGTTTCAACCCTCGATGGCACCTCCACTTCCTTCCTATGCATAGACTCAACATCGCATTGTTTTGAACATTGATTTGTAATTATGCAAACAGAACGGGCACACGTGCTCCCTACCTGCCCCTAACCCGGGTCCCTTCGGCAGGGGTGCCCCCGGGGAGCAGCGCCCCGCTGCAGAGCCCTTTCCGGGTGGTGGGTGGAGGTGCCCCTGCCCCGTGGGCTTTCTCAGCTGCGTGCAGGCCCCGGAACCTCTGCCAGGGATTTCCTAAGGGAGTGGACGAAGCCGTGGGCCACGTGAAGTCTGTTTTTCACTTTGTTTCTGAAAGTAAAGGGGGGGGGGGAGAGAGAAGGATTCAAGTTGGCAAAAACACGAGTTTATAAAATAGTGACTAACGCCCAAAGCTGGGATGTAATGCTCCTTTACAGCAGCGTTTTCCAACCTCGGCAGTAAGACCCTTCCACCCCTTCCCCAAATCGTGGCAACCCAAACGCCTCCAGATACTGTCACCCGTGGTGGGGAGGATCGCCCTTAGTTAAGAACTGCTGCTGTAAACCCGTACTTTCCAGGATTAACTGCTCTCCCAGCTCCAGCCACACAGATGGCCTCTCTCTCTCCGCTCCAGCCCTTTCCAGCCTCCGCTTTCACGGGCTTCCTTCTGGCTAAATCGCTAGCCCTCCGTGCTGGCGGCTTGCTTCTCACCTGCCTGTAGGTCTCAGCTCAGCTGACTACCAGGGTCTCCAAAGAGCCTTCCCCCTCTGGCCCATGCCAACCCCTAAATACAGGTATTCCCTCTCATTATTTCCTTCGTAGGACTTATCACACAACCTGGGTTTATATTTACGTACTTGTTAGCCTGTGTTGTTGGGTTTGTTTGTTTTCTTGTGTGTGTTTTTTCTCCTCCACCTCCTAGTTATATATATAAGCAGGCTTCATTTAGAGGCCTGGTCGGGCAGGGTCACCCGGGATCCCCAGTGCCTGGCACACTCCATGAGCATGGCTGGACTGAAACAATAAATTACCTTCAATTCCTCCTGAGAGCAATGGAGTTTCTCCTGCTCCAGCGGTTCTCAGCCTTGGCTGCACATTAGAATCACCTGGGAATCTTTATAAAATCCTGATTTCTGGGCCTCATCCTCCGGAAATTCTGTTTCTTTGTTATGGGGTGAGGCCACAACATTAGTAACAAAGAAGCAGAATTTCCAGAGGATGAGGCCCAGAAATCAGGATTTTATAAAGATCCCCAGGTGATTCTAATGTGCAGCCAAGGTTGAGAACCACTGTCCTACTCCTTTCTGTCCTCAGTGCCTGCTGGTTTCCTTGGACCTTGGACGGATGAGCACCTGTGTTAGGAGCTGTGGGGAGCGCCTTCACTTTCCCCGCTGATTTAGGAACTCCTTGAGGAGACTGCCCTCTGTTATGTTCATTCAAGGCATTCAAATAGAGAGGTGAATGAACTCGCCTAACCCATGACTAAAGGAATAAGTATTAGGCCATTAAAAATGGACAGTGCTACAGGGGGCTTTAGAAATCACCAGAGTCTAGTCTCTTACTTTACAGGTGAGAGTGTAAGTAATTTGCTCATGGTCCCTAAGCTGGTTAAGAGGCACCAAGTCACAAGTACAACCCATGGTCTCACACCTCTCCTTTCAAGGCTCTTTCTTATCTCCAGCCAGTCTAATTTCTGATTACTTCTCTGCAAACCTGATTTATCACTCACTCAGACACAAAAGTCCTGAGCCAAAGGCTTGTTCCTGTCTCCTAAAAGCTTTTGAGCTTGTATTCTTACTCCTTTTTTTAATCCTGTTCATTGGTTTTTAGAGAGGAACATCAATGTGAGACAGAAACATCGGTTGGTTGCCTCCTGTGCGACCTGGGCCAGGGATCGAACCTGGAACCTAGCATGTTCCCTCACTGGGAATGGACCTCGCGACCTTTCAGTGCACAGACAACGCTCCAACCAACCGAGCCACACCGGCCAGGGCTGTACTTTCATCTGTGATTAAATACAGACCTAGGGATAATGGCTAATGAACTCCAAAGTGCTATATGAAATTCAGACAGTTTCCCAGCTTCTTTGGTACCTTTCAGTGATAAGAGATTGGGAATTTTCCCTGTCAAAGCAAAGTTTCTTATTTATTTTGGAAAGAAAAATGTACATTGTGCTAGAAATTGATCATTGTTTAGAAATTTCCAAATAACCAGTTGTTAAAGTTTTGCCAAACCCGGTAAAATGGGAAACAGATGAAAACAGATACCTTTTTGAGATGACTTCCATTGCCTAAAGTGAACCTTTCTCTCTTTAGACATGTTTCATTCTACTCTGTACCTGAAACAGTTGTCACTCCTCATTAATCCGTCTCTCGTTAGACCTTTGTTTTGAGAATTAAAGACGTTTTTCCTTCTCAGTTAAAGAAATTCAGGTCCCTTCTTTCCCCCTCTTGATCATTTTAAACAGGCAGCACACTGTCAGTAGAGTCTCGTGGAGAAACGCTGTCCGCTTGCAGAATCTTGGAGTTTCTCTGGGGCATCTGACAGCACACTGTGTTTGTCATGGGAATTAGAGATGCCATTTGTCTGACTGATTGAAATTCCCCATCAGCTGCACTGTAACCTTGGAAATCGTCTCCAAAAGATGGTTTACTTGAGGGTTATCAAAATAGACATATTGAAGATAAATGTATTCCCAGGAGGACATGTCTAGATGCATCTCTCTCTCCAAGGTATGCAGTGATACCAAATACAGAGAAAGGAGATTAGGGTGGAGGGAGCAGCTAAGTAGAAAGTGTGGTTGCTTTATCCTGTTTGCATTCAACTTTTATTAGAACTCTTAAAATCATCGTCACTTCCAATCATCATAAAGCTGACACCACCGTATTTATTCATTCATCGAGCATTTATTCTGCTTGGCACGGTGAGGACCAGAGAGATAATGATCAGTCCCCGAGCTGTGGAAGTTCACAGTTTAATAAGAGAGGGAAACATTGTAAACACATTACTCACATAGAAAGTAGTTTGCAAATATTAATGGAGATATAAATTGTATGATAGAGTGGAGAGAGGAAGCTATGCATTCTGATTAGGGAATCAGGACAGCTTCATGAAGGAGCTGGCATTTTAAGAGGACAGCATATGCATACAATTTCCTTTGATCATTCTTGGGCAATGGTTAGACTACCTAAAACAAATGACATTTGCCCACCACTTTAAAACTAGGAAAGAAAAGGTGTAAGATCCTTTTTACTTCTGGAAGCAACATGCTTCTGAAAGCTACATGTTGCCTTTGCAATTCCAAGTGCCTCAGTCATGGTTAATAGGAGATCTAAAAAGAGAGAATCCCCTTTCATCTTTGACTTCTTCCTCACTAAGGTTAAGTCAGATGTGGCTCTCTAATGCCACCTGTATTATTTCAAACCTTCTCATTTCTGCATTAGGGTATTTTATCCTGATCTCCATTGGGACATGCAGTAGCCAGGTGTCTTTTTTTAGGGGGGGTGTCAGTAATGTTTATAAATGTATTTATGAGTGTGATCTGGAGTCCTAAAATTTTCAGTACTACTGAGAAGGAAAGAGAGGCAAAATGATTTAGATAACTAAGTGTTGAATCAAGCCTCTGTGTAAACTGCTATACTGCCTAACTTATTTAGGGTATTTTTTTTTTTTTTTTTTTTTTTTTTAGAGAAAGGAAAAGATAAAGGAATGCCAGCTTGGCTTTAGCTTCTGAATTTGATCCATTCTTTGGCAGCCAAAGAGAAGTCAGTCAATATAAGCCCTGACTGTTAAGGTCTAAATCTGAGCTCCTACTGTTCCTGCCTGTTCACTGTCAACCTACAAAATATAACTCCATGTGTAGGTGGCAGTTTATTACGGACCTCATGCCCACTCAGGAGTTGCATGTCAATGTCTGCATCCTTCAGATTGCTCTTTCTGACTGGCAGAAGAATCTCCATGTGGGTTGTGTGTTTCTGGGAAAGCCTAGGGTTTAATGAGTTGGAACAAGAAATGACAGCGGATGTAAGTGACAGGCCTGCATGAGTGCCCCGACTAAGAAATGATGTCAAGGACATGATTGCGTTCTCAAGCAATATAGCAATGCTCTATTTGACTACTTGGTTCTGTTTTTTTGCTGATTATGAAGTTTTGGTGACATATAAGCTGATGTTATTTCTCTTAATGTTTATCATTTAATAGAAAAGGTTTCAGATGAAATAGATTTTAAACTGACTTTTTTTTCATGATTGCTACTTGGTACATCTGCACAGAAATCTGAGATGATTGCTCAAAAATTACTCCACTACTAACAGCCCATATTTTGAGGCCTTTTACTTTATACACATTTGATACTTGGAAAATGTCAGTTACCAAAAAATTGTTTAGAACTTGTACCGCAGTCACCAGAGGGGCTTTGTTTCATCCTTAGTTTATAGTATAAACAGAGGTGGGAATGTCTGGCCTGTGGGCCATACAAGGCCCGTGAAATCGTTTGGTCTGGCCCTGCCAACGCATTACGGGTGAATTAATTAAATGTTCGATCAAATATAGC